CAGATGCAATGGATTGAAATAGCTGCTCATTCAGTTAAAAAAAGCAATGAATATTCCTTTAACTGGATGAGACCCTATTTTTTAAAGTTGCTAGTTATTTGACAAGAATGAAAAGCAAACAATAAATATCCCAAAAGTTTTTTTTTTTCTGTTGATAAATTGCTGATAAAGAAAGTATCAATCTGTGAAGATCTGAAAAAACATTCTCAAAAATCTAAATGCCAAATTATGAATTTTGGTTCTTAATGTGACAACCTTAGTGGTTTCCTGAATTTTAAATTCCCCATTTAGGAAGAGGTTGAACAGAATAATACAGGGTCTCCTGCTCGGGCAAGAGTTTGGACTAGAAGCCCACCAAGTTCCCTTCTAACTCTGTCATTCGATATTCTGTAAGTTCTCCATTAAAGACGGATAAATTCCAGAAAACTAGATTTTTATTTGAAAAGTTCTGTTTCCACCCCTCCCCTTTGTCTCCTGAGGGTGTGTTGGGGGTTTGGGGCAATGCCAACCAGGCCTGGGCTCCTTTGAAAATTTGAAGCTTTGAGGTTTGGACTTAGAAACATAGAATCCCAAGGCTGGAAGCGACCATGGAGGTCTTCTAGTCCAACCTATCCAAGGCAGGAGACTTCATTTCAGTACTTCCGATTCAGTTATTATAAAATATAATGACTTCTGTTATGGTTTGGCAAGAGAGCTTAGCCCTACTGAACTGGTTAAAATCTACTCTGCGGTTGATGGTCTTTCTTAAAAAAGGATGCCATGAAAGGCACAGCAAAAAAACTTACCCCCCTCCAAGCCTCAGCACTGGGACCTTCCTGCAAGGTTGCCATAGGCTCTGGATGTCACCATCCCTACACAGTAGAACCAGCCAGAACTTGGGGTAACCACCACTGGTTTGGTTGGGTGCCCAGGATCCCCCCCAATCACAGCTTGGCACATGCTTGGCTGAGGCCCGCATGGTGTTGCCAAAGCAGGGTTGGTGAGTGACCAAGCTTCCTCAGGCGCTGGACAGGCTGGCACTTGGGAGGTTGGTGGTCTGCTCAGATGACATCTACACCCCCGACCCCCTTGCGCTGGTGAAGCAGCAGGCATGGCTTCCTCCAAGGAATTCTGGGAAGTGTTCTTGAGGTCAGCCAGCAACAGGCAATGTCTTGATTCCCAAATCCCCCGTTTTGGTTCTCCAGAAAACAGGCTCCCATCACACAGGAAGAGACCAAATTCGTGCTAGGGAAAGCAAGGTCTTCTGAATGCCCCAAGCTGGCAGCAGCGATGGGGGCAGCAAGGGCTGGGGAAAGCTTTTGGCTGCTTACTCAAAGACTAGCCAAGCGGAGGGTCGGTTGATGCCATTCCTGGGGACTGGCATCCTTTCACCTGGTGCTGAGCTGCCCCCCAGGGCTCAGGTGGATCTCCTGGTACCATCTCTGCTGCAGCTCGGTCTTTTGTGTGGGGGGTGGGGCAGTTGGGAGGCAAGACATTTTGGTGCAGGGACTGAACTGATAATTTCCCAGGTTTCCATGAGCTCCCCTGATCCTACTGGAAGGATTACCTGGAGAAAATAAGATCTCATCCATTTTTCTTCCTTTTATTGCTGGTGAATCAGACCAACAAGAGATCTCTGTCTACCTATCAAGGAAGATACAAGTCAGAGCAAAAATTAAGGTCATGGGCATTTTCTTATTTGATAAGTGTATGTATATATATATATACATACATACGAATATATATATATATATATATATATATATCCCCTCCTCAACCAAAGATTGATCATGGTTTTGCCGGAGAGGGTATGCAACTCTGGTCAATTTCTTTCTTTCTTTCTTTCTTTCTTTCTTTCTTTCTTTCTTTCTTTCTTTCTTTCTTTCTTTTTCTTTCTATCTTTCTTTTCTCTGTCTCTCTCTCTCAACATTAAAAATAACAAGGACAAGTGGGCAGAATATATATATATATACATATACATATATATATATATATATATACATATACATATATATACATATACATACACACACACACATACACATAAAGATGGGAGTTAAAATACTGCTATTAAACTAGAGGTGCTACATCATATATATATATATATATATATATATATGATAAAAGATTATTGGGATGAAAAAATGTTATTCTTTTTTTAAACATTGAGAAGGACAAGACCAGCCTGGTTCCTTACCCCTCCAGTTTTAATCAGGTGGATTTTATATTCGCATCTATTCTTTAGAAGGGGACATATTCTAATATATTCATCATGGGTGAATATGGTGGAAAGGTTGTTTCAACTTTCCATCTTACTCAGGAGATAACAGGGGGGAACGGGAGGAAAGGGGCTAATTCACCTCCCCTTCTGGGCACACGGTCCTTCCATGCCCCCTGCGCCCTGTATAAGGGCCAGATATTGATTACAACTGCCTGCCAGCAAAACCTCCCTCACTTGTAATAAAGTAACCCAACATTGACCCAAAATGTTCTCACGTGAATTACAAAACAGACTACACTCTGCCAAGAACACCTAACCCCAAGAACCCCTGGGGAGCCCCAGCATCACTTCCTGCCTTGCCCCCAAACTTCAACCCCCCCTCTTATCTACATCAGCAGAAGTGGAGACCTGCCTCCCCCCATCCCCTGCCCCCCAGAAAGGACTGAGTTGCTCGGTGACCCTGCCCCACATTTCTTTTGTCTTCTCCTGGAATAAACATATCTGAATATATATATCTATATCTATATATTCAGATATACATCTATCTATCTATCTATCCCAGTAGAATAGATGTGAGACTGTCAGAATGTGTGGTATCCATGAGGGGTTTCCAGTGAAAAAAGCCCTGTGAAGCCAGGGAATTGCTCAGTCTTTCTGGCTCCCGAAAAGAATGCATAGAAAATGGCTTGGCTGGTGTGCTGGGATGGGGCACCTCCTCACCCTCCCCTGCAGGTGGGGCAGTGTATCCGGGCAGCTGCATCCGGACAGGGAGCAGCCCGGAGCCTTTGCTGACTCAGGGCCAATGAAACCCCCCTCGTGGTCCTCCTCCGATTCCTTGATTGGCCAGAAAACATTTTCGTGCTGCTGAACGCCAGGGTGGGGCTGCTTGGTTCCGGCCCGGTGAGGAGGGGAATAACCCTAGAGACGTCGGTGCATACAAGAGGGGAGTTGCACGCAAGGAGGCTGCTCTGGGTACAAAACTGGCATGAGTGGCATGGGAATGAAATGCCACTCATCAGGATGTCATTGCGTTCAGATGAAGCTGCAGTGCAGATTGAAGCCTTGCAGGACAGGTGCAAAGGCCCAGGTGAAGCTGACAGGTCCCCGTTCACTCTACATTGTCTTTGCATGCAGAATCTCGGAGCAAGTGAGCGGGCATGCTTCAGCTCGGCCCCATTCTTTCCACTCCTGGACAAGACCTGGATGTTCTCATCATAAAGAAGAACAGCAGCCGCCATGGCCCTTCCTCCCCAGGTCCTCCCCCCAAAAACAGATCCTGGCCAGATGACACATTTGGCCCAAGGTTGGCCAGGTTGGCCAAAAATCAGGGCTGCGGGTATTCTCTGTGCTGAGAAAGCATGGCTTGAGATGGGATTTGGCATCGTGAGAAGTCGGGGTAGGTGTCAGAATCTCTGAAGCTGGAGGGGGCAGGCATCCCGTGGGTCACAGTGGGGCTTCTTCTGTGGCCAAGGGAGGAAGCGTGGGGTACATGCATAGCTGTGAGCTTCTTCCCAAGGCAGGGATCGGCTACACCAGAAAGGGGTAGCCATGGCTGCAGGTGGTGGGCCTGGCACCGTCCGTGAGGGCCTGGGACAAATCAACAGAGGTCAGAGGGTGATATTTGGGACAGAGAAAAAGGACTTTCCCCCAAGAATGCTACAGGGTGATGAAACAAAAGTCTTCCATAAAATGCACAAAGCAAAACCCAAATCAGAATCTTTTGTCTTCTCAAACCATCTCTGAGCTTGCAAAGGTTCCTTCTGCAAAGGAGTCCAAGAAGTTTAAGCAAAGGAAATGGGCACAAAAGGAATATGTATGTGTGTTTGTGTGTGTGTCGTTTTGTTCCACCCCTTTGCAGTTTGGCATCCAGGTAGCAAGTTGAATAAATCTACCCAAGTGACGTGGCTGGATGTGAATTCACAAGGAGACCAGTGCAGCAACTGCCTCTATCCCAGAAGTTGGACCAAGTATCTGAGAGGCAAAAGAAGCAATCAAATGTCTTGAAATGATTAAGGATGTTCTGCAAGGCAATTCAATATTAGGGGTTTTTTCTCTTTTTTTTTTCCTTTTTTTTTTTTTTGAGCACATGTCTGCTTCATTCTGAAAAAAATAGAATATATAAAACTAGATAACCTCGGGAAAATCCAGATGAGGACAGTGAAAAGAGGTTTTGGTCCATAAGGAAATACTCTTTCTTTTTTAAAATCTTTTTACTTGATTTTGAGTAACAAAAGTTTTGGTCCGGTTAGATAACAAAATTATATATGAACATGTTAATTTGAATAGTTACTGGTGTGTGGTTTTTTTTTTGTTTTTGCATTGTGTTGGGTTGTCAATTAAAATGGGGCTTTGTTGCCAGTATTGCGTGATCATTTTCTTAGGTTTCCATGTGAAACTGTTGTTTAACTCAAGTGAGAAAAAAGGGGGAAAATACTTCTCTTCTGCATGGATGTGTCTTTGAAATTGAATCACGAAATGCACGCTTATGGAGGTCAACCCTCACCCGAAATTTGGAAGGGTTGATTTGCATGTGGGATTTTTGTTCTTTTTTGGAAATACCCTGTTAGTGACTCCTGATTCTTATTAGATGAATCCCTGCTTGAATAGAAAAAGAAAGATCAATGTTCAAAACCCTTTGCGGTGGCTCAGAAGACTCCAAACGAAAAGGTTAAAGTAGCCAGGAGGATTCACCCAGGGCTTCTTCTGACCCCTTTCCTCATTTCCCTGGCCCAAATATTATTCACTTTCATTAAACTTCTTTTCTTAGAAAAAAAAAAATACAGGAAACAGAGAATATAAAGGTCTTTAGCTGCTTCTTTTTTTTTCTTTTTAAATGTTGAGGTAATGCAGTTGTGCCCTCGTTTGATCATATTCCCAGAGGCTTCTCTCTCATTTATTCGTTTCTCCTGTCCTTCTGATTGAGTTCTTTCCAAAGCTGTTGTCCGCCAGGCTGGCCAAGACCTTCCGGCCATATTGTGACCGCCACCAGAGCTGGGTTGTTGGGGAGAAGAGGAGCAGCAGCCCCCAAGGAGAAGTTTCTCGGTCACCAGGAGGTGCCACAGATCCACCGGATGGCCAGCCCCTCCTCCAGCCCCCCCAGACCATCTTGAGAAAGAAAATCAGCACCGTCAACCACTGCGTATCAAATCTCCTGCCCAAATATTTATAGGTTCTCCAGTTAAATCGTATCCGTCATCTTCATCATCATCGCCACTATCATTATTTTCTTTAAAAATAACATACATTGCTCCTAAAATAGTTTCTTTCCTCTTTAAATTAATGTTCGTTTCTCTCCTGTGTTTGTTCCTGCTTCAGATGTCCTTCCATCCGTCTTCTCTCTCACTCGCTCGTCTTCCTGTTTCTCAGGGTTTCCGCGGCTGCTGCTGGTTTTAAGAAAATATCCTAATGGCCTGAGTTGCTGCCGCGTGGCAGACCGGGCACTCGGGGTCGGTCCGCTCGCAGATCCGCACAGCACACTCCATGCAGAAGAGGTTGTGGCCGCAGGGCACCAGGGCCGCCGTTACCTCGCTTTCGAAGCACACCATGCACTCCCGGCTGCTCGAGAGGGATGTCCGGCTGGTCGCGGAAGCACCCAATTTAGAGAACCCTTGCAGGGGCTCCCCCTGAGATCGTCTCGGAAGCCCGGAGAGGGGAGGCTCTTGGATAGATGACGAGGGGGAGCGGTGTGAATTGGGGTGGAGGGTGCCGGCATTGCCCGAGCGCTGTTTGGAGAAGAGCACGGAAACCGGATTGGTGTTTTCCTGGCCAGCCCACAGAGGGGCTCCTGACTCGGGGACCCCATAATATAGATCTTGCTTGTTGACCCCGTAGTTAGGGAAGAGGTAACTGTAATTGAAATCATTTTGGTCATTCAGCCGGGGCGTCTCATAGGCAGGGTCCAAGGAGCAGTCGCCGATGCACCCGAGGCTATTCTGGCGGAAGGTAGAGAGGGGTTTGCAACCTGGGGCCGGAGTGTGGACCCGCCAGGCCTCCGAGTAGCGGTTTTCCATGCCTGAGTCAGGACTGCTGGACAGGAAGTCGTTCTCATTGTTGTATTCTAGGATTTTGCCTGTCCTGACAGCGATGTGAGTTTCAATTTCCTCCCGGGCTCGTTCCACGTTGCCGGGGGCCCCCGTGATCTCAAAGACAGGGTCTCGGTCGCGGCTGGGCGTGATGATGTAGGTGTTGGTCTGCTGTTGGATCCGCTTGATGGTGGCTCCTTTGGGGCCCACAACTAAGCCCACCACACGGTAGGGGACCCGGACCCGGATGGTGACCTGGCCAGGCAAGGTGGGGGCACTGCCAAAGGCGGGGCCGGCCTTGTTGCGGGAAGCACGGATCATGGAGAAATGCTCAGCGGCCGAAATGATTTCCCTCCTGGCCATGGCAACGTCCTCCCGTCGCCCAGTCACCATGAAGACAGGCTCTTCGCCGCGAACCGGGGTCTTGATGTAAGTGTTGGTCTTGGCTCTCAGAGCTTTGATTTTGCAACCTTTGAAAGGAGAGAAGAAACAAAGGAGAAAGAAAACTTAGTAGCTGGACCCAGATCTGAAGGATGCAGAGGAAACAGGGATCTTACGACACTTGGACCACTGAGGAAAAATGGCACAGAAGGGGGCTAAAATGGGAAGGAAGCGGCTCCTCTTCTTCCTTTCTAATATTAAGAGCAGTTTCACAATCAACATACACACACACACACATTCTCTGGGTGTGTTTGAGCTCAGGCTGGATACCATTCATCTAGGACAAGTTTGTTTCTCAAACATGGCCACTTTAAGATGGGTGGACTTCAACTCCCAGAATTCCCCAGCCAGCCATGCTAGAAACCAGAAGGATACGCCAGCTTTCTGCAAAAATATCATGGATCACTGTCATCTGACCATGGGATGTTGGAAACGGTTGTAAATGTGAAAAATTGCTAAGTGACCAGTCACAAATTGAGGACTACCTCCTATTCTGTTCTGTTCTAAGTTCTGTTTTGTTCTATATTCTATGTTCTTTTCTATTCTGTTCTGCTATGTTCCATTCCATTCCATTCCATGCCATTCTATTCTCTTCTCTTCATCAAAGTTGCATGTTGCCTAGCTCTTCAAAGGCAATTCTATTATATTCATTTCATTTCATTTCATTTTATTAGATTTCTATACCGCCCTACTCCCGAAGGACTCAGGGCGGTGCACAGCCAAACAATAAAAACACATACAATACAAAATTTAAAAAATAGAATAAAATCAAATTAAATAATTTTGGCCCCGACAAATTTAAAACCCCAAACTTTTAAAACCAATTTAAAATTGAATATATAAAATACTAAAAGATATTTAAAATTTTAAAAATCTTTTATAAAAGAGGGGGAAAATTAGGCCAGGCCGGCCTGGTGAAATAGTAAGGTCTTTAAGGCGCGGCGGAAGGTGCGCAGATCCAGGATCCTCCGTATCTCTGGGGGGAGCTCATTCCAGATAGTAGGTGCCCCCACAGAGAAGGCTCTCCCCCTGGGGGCCGCCAGTCGGCATTGTTTGGCTGACGGCACCCGGAGGAGCCCCTCTCTATGGGAGCGTACCGGCCGGTGGGAGGCTATTGGTGGTAGTAAGCGGTCCCGCAAGTACCCGGGTCCTAAGCCATGGAGCGCTTTAAAGGTGGTAACCAGAACCTTCAATTCTATTCTCCTATTTTTCTCTTCCATTCTGTTCCATTCCATTTATAACAATGCCTAACTCTGCAACTCTGACTCTGGGTGATATACAGTAAAAATAATCATAAAACCCAATTAAGAATCCAAATGTCTGGAAGGAAAACATTCTTGAAAAAGAACCAAACGTCCTTTGTAAAGATTCTGGGGGCAGGAGCGAGGGGTACCTTGTGGGGAAAGCATTTCAGAGAGCTGGTGCTGGCACAAAGAAGGCAGATTTCCTAGGGCCCATCAAGAGACATTGCCTCAGGCAGTGGTCTTCAACCCCAGCAATTTTAAGACAGCTGGACTTCAACTCCCAGAATCCCTCACCCAGCATGAAGTCCACCATCTTAAGGTTGCTTGGGTGGAGAGAGACTGGCCCAAGGGAAGGCGCCGGGTCTGTGCCAATTGCGCCCAGGCTCAGGAGAAACCAGGAAGACCAATGATCCCTTGGGTAGGGTTAAGGTTAGGGTTAGTAGATCTCCTGCCATGAAGGCTTTGTGGTTGATAATCAATAGCTTGAATTGCTCCGGCAAGCTTCTGATGGCAACGCAATGGGCAGAACGTTATTTGGGACTAGTTGCAGCTTCCGAGAATTCTTCAAGGGAAGCCATACGTAAAGCACATTGGCTTAGCCCATGCCCAAAGTGGCCAGGGCAGGAGTGGCTGTTGGAAAAGTCTCTGGAGGACAGATTTGTGCAAAATTCTTCTTATCGAAACAGAATAGAAGCCAAGAAGAACCCAAATTGTCCACCAGTTCTGATAGATTGTGTGTGTGTGTTTGCAATTAATAAGGAAAGATCCCGGGCAGCAATCTGGGCACACTCTTTCCTGCCACTCTGCCATAAGGTCTCACTTATGCCCATCAGGTCAGCTGCCTCATTCACAATAAGTAGCCAATGAGGAGGCTTATTCCATTGGGCATCCTAAGGCAACAGCCGGAATTGAGGGCCACTGAGGATCAGACACCCTGCCCTCCAGGATGAGGGTTGAGGACCGGAAAGAAACTACCAGACCCATCTTCTTCCTGAATAGCCCGTCCTCAGCTTCCCATCCTGCCTTCCTCTGCTGGTCCCAGCCAGGATGGAATTCCTGCCTTCTCGCCCCACTCATCAATGCCCCTCTGCCCACTGCAGTGCTTCCCCAGCCCTGGAAGGCCCCCAAACATTCCACACTCATCCCTCGCAGACACACGCCCAGCGTGGCTTTTCTGGAATCCCAACTCAGGGGTAGCCAGAAGGGCATCACTGGCGTGTGTGCGTGTGTGTGTGTGTGCGTGTGTCCGCCAGAGATTAACCTTCCTCATTGGCTGTGTATTTGCAGCAAGGCTGAATGGATCCTGCCAACCCTCCAGGCAGCTTCCTTCGTACCCACTCCGGTCGAGCTCGGCTGCTTTGGAAGCTGCCTTGGGCCACCTCCACGCAGGTGAGCATCTACAGCTGCTTCACATCCCAAAACGGACGTAAAGCCCTGGGAGAAAAGGTGGCTGCTTTAAGGGTTCAGAGAGAGGGGCTTTGTGCACGCTCCTGCTTCCTCTTTCTCAAGGATTGGTCCAGCCCTCCTTGTTCAACTGGCTTTCGCAATTTGCTAGCATCTGGGGACCATTTTTGAGACAAAATCCCTCTGGGGATGCTGCCTTTCCTAGCTTGCTGGTTCTGCAAAGGTTGCCCCCCACCCACTCTGGGAGAAGAGGGTCGTAGCGGTGCTGGCAGGAGCCGCGGAAAGATGGAGCTGACAGCAACAAAGGGGTCATGCAGACGCGGAGACAAAGGAAGGGGGAGCCCAGGCAGGCAGCAGATGGAGAGAATCTAAATCAAGCCAGAAGCTTAACCAAGAACAAATGTCATTTGCACCAGCCTCATGATGGTGGTGGGGGACGCAGAGGGGAGAGCCAGCAAGAACAGGAGCCGGGTTGGGTTGGGTTGGGGGGTGCCCATGTGCCTGGAGGCAGGCCCCAAAGAGGAGAGTGGAAGGAGCAGCAGGTGGACCCATGAGTCCAGCAAGAAGGTTGGTGGGGGGCATCTGCCCTGCAAGACTTTTGAGGGGATCTGCTTTTCGGCAGGAGGGACTCCATCTGCGCCCCCCCCGCATCCTGCAGCTCAGGGGAGCTGGTGGAAGTTTGAAGAGGCTGGCAGCTCCTTCTCCGAAGGGCTGGGAAGGGGGAATCCCTAGCAGCAGTCTCTGCTTTGAGGGGTCCCCTGTTCTCAACAAGGATGCTTCATCCAGCTCAAGACCCCTGGGAGTAGCCCAAGGCTTCGTTCCCCGTTTTCAGGCTGAGCTCCTTTACTAAATGGAAGTTAGCCCATCTCGCCCAGCCGGCCAGACCACCAGGGCCCAACCCCACAGCCAGCCTGCTGGAGCGGCGTGAGCCATGAGGCCGTTCCACCAGGGGCTGCCTGGGAGGGCACCATTTCGGGCACCTTCTCGAGCAGGGCACAGAAGCTACCCAGAGCCTTACGCTGCTTGTACAGGAACTGACGGTGCCTGCCCATGACAGCATAAGCTGTGACCGTTGTAAAGCAGGTCATGCATGTAACCAATCCAATTTTACAGCCATTTTTGTGATGCTCGTTAAGTCAGCCATTGTTCACTCTAGGACGTTTTTGCTGAAAATTAGAAGGCCAATTTTTGACAAAAAATGTCATAGATCATGGTCAAATAACCATGGGGTGCTGCAAATGTCTAAATGCAGGTTGGTTACCAAACCTGCAAAATGCAGTCAAGTGACTGAGGGGGGTGTATGGCTGTCAGAACTTTGGAACCTGGTGAAAAGTAAGGCCATAAAGACCTTTGGGAGGGGGGATCCATCACAAGTCCCCATCTCTGCAAATCCTTGCCGCTCAGGATTTGTCCAAATTTCCTTTGGCTGAAGGTGTAAAAAAATGGGGTGCCAGGAGGGTGGGTTTCATCTCAACTAACCAAAGAGGAGATTTAGGAGATCTTGACCACAGATGCACCAACCCTCCCCCCAAAAGGAGCCCTGGTAGCGCAGCAGACTAAAGCACTGTTATTAACATCAGCTGCCTGCAATTACTGCAAGTTCAAATCTCACCAGGTTCAAGGTTGACTCAGCCTTCCATCCTTTCTAAGGTAGGTAAAATGAGGACCCAGATTGTGGGAGCAATAAGCTGACTTTGTATAAATATACAAAAAGTATGAAGGATATTGCTTAATGCATTGTAAGCCGCCCTGAGTCTTTAGAGAAGGGTGGCATATAAAAAAAAAAAAGACAAGCTCTTCTGCAGATCATAACCTGGAGAAAGAGGAGCCGAAAAAGCCCACATGATTCCCCCCCCCCTTCACAAAATGCCCCGTGTAGGATCTCTGCACAGCATCAGGAACCCTAATTTCCTCCGGTTCCGGCTACTATAATTCATGTTTATCACCCTTAAGAACACACAGAACCTCAGAATTAAAATTCTCCCAGGTGCAGCTAAGCCAGACACTGGCAAACACACCAATGGCACCAAGCAGACAGCTACAACTATTTTACCAATTGGCCCCAATCCATCTGGCAAGGAAGCCTTCTCTTGCGTCTTCTTACTCCTTTAAGGAGGCTGTGATTGTGAGAGTACAGAAAGTGATAGAACTGCGTAAAGTGGTGGGTGATCCTGAGGGTAAGAACAGAAATGTTTACACAGGAACACCCCACTTGTAATCCATGACTTGTAGGAAAGGCATAGAGATATTCCTTTTGTAGAGAGCACAAAGGCAAGAGACTGAAGTGGGTGCGAGAGGCTCTCTGCAAAGTGAGAGGAGGAGGAGGAGGAGGAGGCACTGAGGTCTCAGGGCCAAACATGCTAAAACTGTCAGTTCACTAA